CACCGTTAGTGCTCGGACCCTAATAAATGTTGGTGAATAGTAATTGTCGTTTTTGAGCTTGTGAGAAGAGGAGAATAACAGAGCAGCAGTCCAGCCATGTTTGGTTTATAGCAATGTTGTCTTTTATTCTAATTTCCAATAAACAGAGAATATATCAGTCCCTTATTTGTACAAAAATACCTGAACAGGATACAATGTAGATCCAGGAGCCGAACAGACAGAATGAAGCAAAGCACAGTGTGTGAAAAAAACAACAAACAAACAAAAAAAAGAAACATGATTACGGTTCATTTGCTTTTTTTCTTTCCCTGAAATGTTCATGTGACTTCAGCTTATGATGACTCCAACCCAAGCAACAAAACACAACCAACACTACGTTAGTTTCACTTGCACTTACACTGTAAGTCATCAAACTCGATGGGACTCGTATGTGATGTTGACCTGACAATATAGGATTTAGTTCCAGTAAGGTTACATTTCAGTCACAGCTGACTGGAAATGAATGCAATGAGTGGACGGATCGCAACTAAGGACTTGTTACGGTTTAGAAAGAGGCACCTGCTGCAAGACTTAGTTAAGAAAGAGAATAAAAACAAACTTTGTTATGCACCTTGAAATCAGAGTAAATGGACATAATGAAATGCACAATCCTCTTGAGCTACAGCGTATAATTGCACTACTTGTGACGAAAAGGTGTACAAAAGCTGCTAAGAATATCCCCACGGGTTAAGCGTTAGTGTTTGTGCTCTTGATGCAAACAAAAAAACAACAACAACAAAAAACACTGCGGTGTGTGTGTGTGTGTGTCTGTGTGTGTGTGTGTGTCTGTGTGTGTGTGTGTGTGTGTATGCATATGTGTAGGATTAGCGTCCAAACATTTACTGGAGTGTTTTCTTGAAACGGAAAAGTAAATGAGTGGAATCAGAGCGGGGATACTCAAAAGATGTGGTTTTAAACCAAAATGGCATCAGAATTAGATGCTGACAGAGTTGAGGACTCTGACAGACTGTCAGCTTATACACACAAGTGATGTTCAGAATTTTGACACATGCCAAAAATCCAGTTTGATCTTTTAAAAGAAAAAAAAAANAATTTCAACTCCAGATGCATGATATTGGAAAAAACAATAATATTCTGACTTCATGTTTTTCTGCAATATGTACTGCAGTATGAAAAAATAAGATATTTTTAATTTAATACTGTATATACTGTGGTATATTCTTTTTTATATATATATAGAAATATATATATATAAAAGGTCATTTTGTGGCAAACCAAAGAAAATACACAATAATGTCAACATACACACAATCAAATAATGAAAAAGAGGACAAAATAAATCATTCTTCATTTTACATGGAGTTATGAGCAAAAGCATAACACCCCATACATAGTGATCTGTGACCTAGGTACAGTGTTAGATCTACATCTTCTCCATAGCTTCACATACTTAGAAAACACATGATACTTTATACTGGTATATTCATATAATTGGACTTGTGTAAAGGATTGCATTGTAGCACAGTGATTAAAAATGGAGGGAGGAGGAGAGAACGGTGACTCGTCCCCGCTGATACATAGCGACGTGGCTTCGCGTCCCTCTCTGACAGACAGGAAAGACCCTCAGACGAGGACTGGGAATGCTGGGATACCTCCAGCCAAACTCCTGTCTTGACTTTACCCAACCGACAAGCAACCTTCTTCCTACTGTCTCTAAAAGGCAAGTATGATAACCAGCAGAGTTAGCAATCCTGAAGAGTGAATATAACAGTCTGGCCGTCCACGCACACACACTCACACACACACACACACACACTCACACACACACCGTGCACACATATTCACCACAGGGTCATAGCTTACAGGCTGGACACGAGTGGGAGAGGGGGGCAGGGGGGTTCAAGCATTATCCAATCCCTGGAGAGAGTCTGCCCTGACTGACTGGAAAGGCCTGATTGGTGGAGCGCAGAGCTGGTGAGTTGGTTAAAGCCACGTGATTAGTTGACTGGTGGCGGCAGTGGCTTGTGTGTCAATGACAGTACTTAGTGAGAGTTTAGTTAGCCTGGCAGGGAATCCGATGGCCTCGTGGTAACCCCGCTCACTGCCAATCTGGATGTAGGAGGTGCAGCTGAGGACAGGAGGGGTTGAGGACCAAGCTAAACATGCCTCTTTTTCCCGTTGTCTTGTCCTGTCAATATGATCACTGTCATGGACAAAGCGGGGGGAAAAATTCAACTCTGTAAAAGCGTCTTTGAGTGGACTTTTTACACGGATGGGAAAACAGTTATTCTAATATTTCCTGTGTGTAAAAATGTAGTTGTAGCTGTCGTCTATGTGCTGCTTTTAACTCCATTCAGTCTTAGTGCGTATGCTACAGTGTCTTTTTTTTTTAAACCACTGGAGGGCGCCAGAGTGGGGTGTTTTATCCTACACATTAAGTAAGAACAGACTACTTTAGCGTCAGTCTATTTTGTCGGCGGACTGACTTCTCCGAGCACAACCTGACTCCGTCTCCTTTTTACTTCCCTTCCCAGAATGCTTTCAACAATTACCAGAAAGACACATTATCAAGTTGTTTTCAACTAGAGCTGCAGACACAAGAATATTGAGCATGCAAGTCATATCATCCAGGGGTGCAATGATTGATTATTTTTAGGATCGCTTAGTTTTAAACATTTTGGTTAACTGATGTATAATTTGGTCAATAAAATCTGGTGACACCTTCAAATTGCTTTTTTCATCCGACCAACAGTTTAAAAACCAAATATTCACTTTGCTAAAAGTAGCAACGTACTCCCATTTGGGAACCTGTTAATCAACTTTTCAGCAAATTTCAACACTGAAAATGCAACATGTATGCAGTGTTGTTTTCCTCTGCCCCTGTTTTGATGGATTTCTTGCTGTATGACTGTTGAAAAAAAATAAAAGTCTGTTCAGTTCAGTTTCAAGAAAGAAGCCCTTAATGCTTTACTGTGAGGGACTGACACCACTGATGCTAAAAAAACAACAACTCCCATGCAGCTGATGGAAAATATCTGGACATGATGTTGCACTTCAGTCCGATGTGAGATCACCAGTACCTGTTTTCTAAATCACATTGAAGCGAATTTTTTTACTTTCAAGAAAGACATTTTTGGAAAACACTTTTTTGCTTTCTTGCTGAGAATCAGATGAGAAGATTGATACCACAGTCACGCCTTTATGTCATGTCAGTGTTAAGTCCTCGAATAAAGACATGTTGGTCTGTTGTAAAGCTGCTGCACAGTCTGCTAGCATGGCTTAGGAAGTCATTGTACCTGGTCAAGAAACAGTATAACACATATCCTCCACAAATTATTGTTTAAGTAAGATATAACATGTTAATTAGAGAGCTTTAGGCCTTCATTATACTCCCCTGCAGGCTCCTAGCGTAGTGGTCATGCGGACACAGATACTGGGCTGAACGCTGTGGGTCAGACAGATGACGAAATTTACGCCACAGATCTCGTTACCTTCAGGCAGAGACCAGCGAGCGAGTTTTAGCGATGAAAGTAGTATCAATTTTCTCGACAAGAGAGCGAATCTCACACCATTCCTCTGTATAATTCTTCATATAATCATTCTTAATGGTATTTTATCCCCTTAGAATCCCAAACGTGTTGCTGTATGTGCATTTTAACATTGTTTTTAAATTTTATACACAAGGCTCATAATTTTCACTTAAGGCGAGTGAACCTCATTCAACTGTGTGTTGACGCACAGTCGACTGAGGTCACGTTTCAAGTCTTTTGTTCAAATTCCATATTAAAAAAAAAAACAAAACATATTAAAAAAAAAAAAAAAAAAAAGCTATGAGAGTGCTTTTGTTGCTTTGTATGAGGGAACAGTGGTCAGAATCCGAACGTGACAGCTCCAACCCATCGATATCAAATCAGGATGATTAAAATGTGCAAGCAGTGAGCTCAGAACAGACTTAGGAAAAAGAAAACGACATTCAAAGACAAATTCACCGACAGATATAACCCTTTCAATTTAAAAAAAAAAAAAACAAAACTGACTGAAATGGTAGAAGCTTGGGGGGTGGACATACTTTTCAGGAGTCTATTTAACAGTCTTCCTCCTCTTCCTCACAGTCTTGAGATGCTGCAGCTGGTTCAAGAGCACATTTGTTATTTATGGTCTTGTTGGTACGAGACGCACGGAGGTCCAACATGTTCCTAAACCTTTCTGAAAGGCACTGCATAATCAGCTGTGACTCTTTGCTCCCACGCCACTGTAAATCCAATCAGAGCTGGTGAGAATTCACATGCATGCTTTTCAGAAGGGGAGTGGAGGAGGAAGAGGAGGCAGTTTCATTTAGCTAGAGAGCTGTCGTCTGTCCGCCCAGGAGTGCAAAACTAGTTCTGCATTGAATCAACAGTAATAAAACAGCATTAAAATGACATCAAGTAATCAACTCTACAAGAGAGGCTTGTGACAGCCTTCCTGATAAACATTCCTCTGTCCTTTCAGCAAACCCTCGCCACTGCTCTGCTCGTCTTGCCTTTAGCTTCTTCTCTTTTCTCTCGCCACTTTTCTCTGAGCTTGTGTGGAGGCAGGATCGGGGGGTTGCACCAGAGGGGGTTGTGGGTCACAGCAGAGACGCCATTTCAAGCCCGCAAAGGTGTTGGTGTGGAGGTGGGGGGGGAAGGGGAGGAGGGGCAGGGTGTCAGCTTATCCAGACTGGACTGCACAGGTTGAGAAAACTCCTGGATCAGGTTTGATAAGACCCAGAGAGGTTCCCGTCCATCCCTGATGATCAATGAGGAAGTCAGAGGGGTGGTGCTCCCCGCTCGCCTCAGTGGCGAGGGAGCGAGGGTGGGGCGGGCACCACAGCTTATCAGGCCTGGAGGATGGGGGAGGTTGGTGGGCAGGAGGGGGGTGGGAGGTGAAGGGTGAGGGGCACTGAGGGAGGGATCCATCCAAGAGACCCGCAGCACTCCTGCTGGAAAGATGTTACTGTGGCTGTTTTGTGTTTTTCACATAGCGTTGGTCTTTGTCCGGGGTCAGAACGGCAACGACAAAACAACAGAGTCTCCGTGACAACATCGCAGGAGTTGGGCAACTGCTGTCCACAATCCGCAACACTTGGATTGTCCCAGAGATTCTCATTCACGCATCCAAACAGCAGTAAGGCCGAGAAAAGAAGGGCACCGGGGACGTCAGAGCTCCAACGCCGGCTCCTGCAGAGTTGGTCACATCCCCAAAAACATGACGTAACTTCTCTCTATCTCCTCAACCCAGTCGTGTTGGTGAGGGAGGGGCAGGGGGGGGGGGGTGGGGGGGAAGGAAGGAGGGATCTCAGGGTGAGAGGTGTGCAAAAAATGGGGCGGTATTGGGTGGGTGGAGTGTCACAAGGCCACAGCGGTGCATGGGTGTTTGAGCTTGCAGGGCAGCACTCCTCTGTTGAGCTGGTAGAACTCCACCAGGTGGATCAGGTCGGTGAACTTGGTGGCGCCGTCGTCGAGGCTGAAGAACACCTGACCGTCCTCCTCGCACTTCAGGAGAAAGGGACAGTTAGCCACCGCATGACAAAAACATTTGTGCACCATTGTCTTGTGCATTTATTGTTACATTTGTCGCCTAAATAACGTGTGACATTATACAGGAAAGGAAATTTTCCATTTTCATCTTGCTTCATCTACTAGGATGATGTAAACATCTCCAATTTTCTGTAAATGTCTCATTGCGACCCAGCTGGCAATTTTTTTTTTCATTGCAGTCCTTTGATGAGACCTTCTGGTCACAAATTAATTTTGCACTATCAGAACTGTTACTAACACTTTGGTTCAGTCTAAAACATACAACACAGCTTTCAGATGGAGTCTTTGACTTTGGTCGTCCCTGCCTGTCTTATGACTGTCAAGCTAACTGGAGGAGAACCTTGGAAAATTTAGCAAGCAATTAAAAAACAAACAAAAATGGAAATATGACTTAGGATTGTGTCAATTAACTGTTTTGGAGCAAATAAACTCTTCTGTGCTCAGAAGGTGGCGATGTAGGCTATGTTCTGCATGGCTATAATAAACAGAGTACAGGAAGCCGTAAACAAATCCAAAGATTTTTTTTTCAAATCAGGCAAATTATTATTCTTTCATGTCAGCTGCTGTTATACGTTTTGCAAACAAAATGGAAACCGCTGATCAATCATGTGAAATATATAGAATTATCTTGTTTGTTTGTTTTTAAATCTGCCATTTCCATTAAGTTTTTCTAACAATATTTCAAAACTTGCACAAAGATACACAATGGAAACACAGCTGACTATGTGAAGATTTGTACCAACCAAATATGGGTTGGACCATTTGATCACATAAACAACCCGCTCAGGATAGAAACTTTGGTGATCGCTCCAACTTCTCTTCAGGGACCATCATCGGGTTGTACTTTGATCAAATTAACTTAAACTGTCTACATGGCTACATACCTATAGTGGCAAGTGAAAAAGAAAGTCTTTGGGTGAAACGGCCCTCTAAGCCAGCTCAAATAGATTCTAGTACTGCAGCAAAATACATGGAAACAGATGTTTGTCCAGGGGGAAAGAAAAACGGATTTTAAAAGCATTTGTTTTGGAAAATGGTTGGTAGTGATGTTCAGTGAGTGTAGCTGGCTCACTGCATCTAACAGGATTTTTCCTCCAACAAGGTGAGAGCTGAGGTCGAGGTGTGTAGTCAGTGTCATCTGTCTGTCAGGACAATTATGCAAAAACTACCAAGTTCACAAAAATTGGTGGAGAACCCATTAAATGTTGCTGTGGATCCACACTGCTTTCCTTAAATTTGCGAGACAGGGCAGTGACCTTGTTGGAGAATGCATTCTCCAGGTTCCCTTGTATGGTTTATTTAATCAAGCTGTGGCACAGAGTATTTCTAAAGGTGGTCTTGCTTTCAGTAAAAAAAAAAAAAAAAAAAGTCTTTCCTGGTGATGCCAACCAACAAAGAATGACTATGAATGCAGTTTTTAGTAAATGGGCTGTAATGTGAAACCTAATGACAGACTGCTGTAAAGACCAATCTGACAGCACAGTTGAAACTTCCTCAGTGTAGCTGTATAGCTGTGACATATTCACTGCTGTGTGAAGTGACTGACCGGTAGGATCTGGAAGTGCCTGATCTTCTGGTGGTGGCACAAAGTGAGCACGAATGCCTTGGGATTACTCTGACTGTCCCGCAACAGGAATAACCTGACACAGAGAAAACATGTTGAGAACGGATCAATCCATGTCATGAACTGTCTCAAGGAAATATCAGTATACAATTAGATGATGACATACTAGTCGAGGAAACAGTGAAAATCATCTCTCAATTCGCTGATTAAAGGTAAAATGTTTTGCCAATAATCCAAAAAAAATCTTTCAGCACCAACATTTTATGCCCTTCGTTTTTCACGACAGCAGCTCAACTACTTTGAGAAAAAAAAATCTTTCCTTGCGAGCATCAACTACTACTAGATAATGTCACGAGACCACATTTCTAAAATCAGCTTTTTCCACTCACCCGTCTACTTGTCCTTGTTGTATGATCATTTTATGGGCTTCCTCTCTCATGATGCGACCATGAAACCATACCTGTGTCCTGTGGATCACTGAAAAAAAAACACATTTTTGAGAAAAAATGTTATTCATACCAACATCAGTGTATGAGGTGTGTCAGAAAAAATCCAAGACTGGTGTCACAAAAGATATATTTCACACCCCGTCTACAAAGAGATCCTGTGAACGTTTGCTTCGTTCAGTGCGCGAGAGTTGTGGCAGGACAAGTCGTGGCTGCTTCACACGCCTGCTCACAATGCCCTGACTCCAGGGGGATTACTTCGAAGGGGAAAACTTGTAGTTTGTAGTTTGGATTTGAAATATTTCTTTTGTGACACCAGTCCTGAAACTTTTCTGACACACCTTGTATGAACCAGTCAGAGCTCCAGACTGCAGCCATTTAATGGGATGTTTGTGTAACTGTGTGTGTGTGAATGAGACTGATCAGAGTCGAGAGCTGGCGTGATGCTCTTGTTGAAACATCAATGTGGGGTGGGGGACAATCCTGCACAGGACGTTAAGTACCGTCACTCTCGTTTGGCCCGACGGTGCCACTGAAATAAACTGTCATTTCATCTTTCAGTAAAAACCTTCATTTGGACCCTTCTGGGTCACTACAATTCCACATTTCTGATGAGGACAAAGAGTAAGCACGTGATCTTCGTGTTGAAAAATCAGATTTACTCTTTCTGACAGGAGTGGCTCACACAGTTTTCGTGGCTGTTATATTGAGGCTACGGTGGCTCCTGACCTAACATTTGCCGGAAAAGTTTGTCAGCTCAACTGCAAACCTTAAACACAAAACACTCTTGAAGCACAGCAACAAAATGAAACATCAGCTACTCAGGGACAGCAGCACCTCTAACTTTATGAGTTTCTTCTCTTAAAGCATGACTTCACTTTTTTCTTTAAAATAAATGAGCAAATTGCTAGCTCTGTAAATTGGCTATTTCTTGCCAAAGACTGTCCCAGTAATGTAGTTAAAATGGAAAAAGCTATGAATGTGTTGCACTGCATGTGGGTTTAAGTGGTGCTCCTGGATTTTGCGCGGGTGTTCCTATGGATGTCAGAACGGACGACAAGAACTAGTCGTGGAAAAAGTTAGTCTGGAGCCCTGTCAGTTCAAACTTTACTGGTTTTTCTGTTGTTGCTGGGCCAGCGTCAAAGTGGTGAGAGTACCTGTGCTCAGAGACGATGGATGCAGGGGGCTGGGACTGCCCAGGACATTCATACGCTGGCTCCTTTTCTATAAAAAAAAAGATATTTAGCATCACATATCATCATATAAAAAAGCTCTCCATTTAATGTGTAACACGCTGAGACATAAACAAAACACAAAGAATGTGCTTTTCTGTGGAATTCAGAGGGATTCTTTTTAGTGCAGGAAATAAACACCGTAATGAACGGCAGTCGACCACGAAGGAAAAAAAATAAAAAATGGAGCGAGCAGCTGCTTGTTGCTTCAGCCTCATCAGAGCTCTGAGCTCAGCAACAGATAAGTGCAGCTGCTGCACACGTTTACCTTACTGAGAAAAGTGTGCTGGAGGGGAACGGTTAATTGGTTCAAATCGGTAAAAGGCGTCCGGGTACGCTTTCCACGAAAGCAGCAACAGTTATGCTCAGACGACTCTGGCTCAAGACAAGTTTGAGGGTTTGTTCATAAAAAGCATCCAGTATTAGACAAAACAAAACAAAAAGGATTAAAAAGCAGCTTTTGTTTTCAAATACTCAAACTATATTTTGGTGTCAATCACATTTAACGACTTGTTTGTGTTTGAGTTTTTCTTGCTTGTTGAAGATACCCTCGTTCAATAGGAGTGACTTTGAGCTCCCCCTACTTACCCTCCAGGTCTGTCCCTCCTCCAGTGCGGCGCTCTGGGCCTCCACAGGGTTGTCGATGACGCGTCCGGTCCGTCCGGAGAAGTCCATGGCAACCAGGGAGTTCTCAGATACACTCCGCTGTGAGGGGCAGGGGGAGGGGGTACACAAGAAGTGGGGTGGGTGGTGAGGAGGGGGGTAGACGGAGGTCAGAGGTCAAACAAGCCAGACACACTCAGTGGAGCATGACAAATCCTGTCTGCATACAGACCCACTTTAGTCAGTCCACTCCTCTGAGGAAAAGCACAAGCCTCTCCTGGTTTTCTAACACTGGCGCTCAAATTATTCAGGTTTCCTTTTAAGGAATCACTATTAATTCTATTAATATTTAAAAATACAAGGATAACTTGCTTCATTTTGTTCAGCAGTTCTCGTATTTATTCCTCCTCAATACCTCCAACAACAATGACTCATGCGGCCATCAAATTAAAAAACTTTGCACAAGGTCTGGCCTCGTAAATCCGACTCCTTTTCAGGACGGATGTGGCGTCAGTCCAAATTAGACATAATTTGGTAAAATACAATTTTTCCTCATTTTAAGAACTAAATCATTGTGAAACTGCTGCAATTATTCCTACTACTCATAACTACTGTATCTATCCATCCATCCATTTTCTATACACCGCTTAATCCTCACTAGGGTCACGGGGGGCTGGAGCCTATCCCAGCTGACTTAGGGTGAAGGCAGGGGACACCCTGGACAGGTCACCAGTCTATCACAGGGCCACACTTAGAGACAGACAACCAAGCACACTCACATTCACACCTACGGACAATTTAGAATCACCAATTAACCTCAACATGTTTTTGGACTGTGTGGGAGGAAGCCGGAGAACCCGGAGAGAACCCACACTGCACGAGGAGAACATGCAAACTCCACGCAGAAAGATTCTGGTGCCCCCACCGGGACGTGAACCGGCAACCTTCTTACCAACTGCGCCACCCTGTAGCACAATTTATTTATTTTTTACTAAAAATATAATTTGTTGGTCAACAGAAGAAGAACTGCCAACACTTTGATAATCACATATTATTTATCGTTTTATTTATAAAACAAAGATTCCAAACAGTCTTAGATATCTTAGGCTCCAGAAACTGAGTTTAACTATTTTTCTGTATGACCTGGCCTGTCATTTACTAATAACAACATTTCATTAATTAATACCAAAAGTAACTTTATTTAACTGTAAATATAAATATAATTTATATTACTTTGGATGGTGTAAATCATGATGTTTTACAGGTGAGGGTCACATGTTGGGAAAACTCACTACAAAGATCTGTAACAAGTGCCAAAAGTTCTTCAAACACAAAGTTTGTATAGATTGTAGAGAATTGTGACTTAATTGAATTCACAAGCTTTCCAAAGCAGCTTATGACACCTTTTCCAACACCTCATGGTGTGAGGGGATTAGACTTGATGCAACGCAGCACGCACACATTTCTGTTTGCTCTGTGTATGTGTAATCTTTTATACAGTGTAGGTGTGTCTGAGCACTGAGGATGTTCTCACACTTGTTTTTTTTTTTGTTAAAAACTTGGGGGTAAGATGTGTTGTTTGTACTTTTGCTACACACTGCTTTTTGCCTAAATGAGCAGCCTGACCTGACGGTGGACAGAAAGCCTTTCACTACAGCCCCCCGCTCACCTGATGAACAAAGGTCAACAGCAGCAATAATCTCATCAATAGAACCTAATTTTAGCACGGGACCTGTCCTTCTGGTGCAAAATGGAAGAATGATCCCGGCTTTTGTAGTCTTTTTTTTCCCCTTAAGAAGTGTGACAGCCACAAAGTGAACTGGTTTCCAATTTACCATCAGCTAATTAATGGATCAATCTGGATTGGACTTGGCTGAATGGGGCATTAGAGTGGGGCCGTAATGAGGTGATGTCAGAGAGCAGATCCTCACCACAGGCGCAGAGAAAGGCGAGAGGTTCGACTTCCTCTGCTGGGGCACGTTGTAGCTCTGATACAGCACTATCCCATACTGTGGAGACAGGAGACACGTAAAGCAACTGTTAGGCTGGAGGCCAAATAGCAGCAACCCTCTGAGAACTGTGTAGTAATTTGATTTACAGTCATGGATTTAACTACAACACATAAAGGTAAAGGGTTTACTTTGAACAGTCTGAAAGCAGTCATCCAGCAGGTCCTGCTCTGTTCGTCCTCTGCACACAGCATCTTCAGCTCCTTACAGTCACTCCTCACTTTACTGGGCTGTCAAGACACAGCAGGGCGGTAAATTAATGAGATCATGGACATGGACGTAGAGGGTCTTTACCTTCCAACACAGGGGACTGCAAGAGCCAGACTACCAAGGCTTGTTCTCTCAGGACAGCAAAGACTTGTCTGAGGGGTTTTAGAGGCATCAGCGATTTTGGATTGTCGCTGACAGCAAGTTTTTATGAACGGATTTATAAGTTTTGCTTCAAATAAAAGTAAAAAAATTCATTGTTTCCTTCAGACTCATTTTTAGAGGTAGACCTTTAATATTGTTTCTATTATTCCTAAGTATCAAGCTTTATTTTTCTTAATTATGTCTAGATATTAATGGCAGTATCTTTACATTTCTTCTAGCTTTCCCTCAAGCTGCCTTGTCAATTTTCTTTTCCAGGAACAATAAAAGGTACAGTACATCTGATGCTAGCCTCTCTGTAACTAGTAATATTAATTGTAATCTATATTGATAAATAGAACATTTCAAGCAGCTGAACAAAACAAAAATACGTGATAATAACATTATCATGAGCAAACTATTGGGAAACATTAACATTACAAGTAGACTTCCAGCTCTGGCCCACAACTGTTCCAACATTACAGCACAGACTTTCTCCTTTTCCGTTCAACAGCAACAAGGACGTTAGACACACCGCTCCTTAATAAATTCATTCATGTCACCATAGCAACAATTCAGCCACCCCCAGCCACCAAATAAAATCCCTTACCAAATCCTGCACTGTCACCCCCGCTGACAGCATCTGACACGCCAGTCGCCTCGTGTGTGTGTGTGTGTGCGTGTGTGTGTGTATGTGTGTGTGAGTGCGTGTGTGTGTGTGTGTGTGTGTGTGCGAGCGCGCGCGTGTGTGTAAAAGAGAGGTGAGGAGGTTAGGCGGGCCAGATTCCCTGTAGCATCCCAGCTTATCCCACTGGGCTTATCCCAGATCAGCAGGTGACCCACCACAGATAACTCCTGGAGTGGGACACACAGTGCTAAGTGAGTGTGTTTAAACCCCCACTGGGTGGTTTTAACCCTTGTGTCCTCTGACACAGACACACACACACAAGATAAAATGCATGGAAAGAAGAAGCAGGTGCTTCTTATGAAGTGGTTTCAATAAAGATCGGATAACGGTCGGCCACACACCTCAGATAAGACAGCAATGTTACACAAAGACTTCTTTTTATGAAAGTTTAACTTATTTTATGGAATCTACTAGAATTGCCATATACTGAAATGAAGAATCTCTGTTTTTTTTGCCAGTAAAAGTGAAATGATCTCATCTACCCTGGCAGATTTATCTAGTTATTTAAGAAGGGCAATCTTCAGCTATGGAGGAACTGAGCTGCTCAGTGTGTGTTACCTTGATACAGAACTGGTAGTCTGTGGGGGCGTTGTGAAGTTTTCTGCCTGTGATGATGGTGAAGATGTTACTGTCCTCCAGATCTGACATCAGCTGCAGGTGTCGGGGCTCCTGTTCAGTGGGGAGGGAAGTCAGTTAAAGTGAATAATATTACACACTGCTTTAAAATGTTGCACATAAAACTATGAACTGCAAGTGAATTTTAATCCAAGCATAACAGAAAAAAGTATTTTCATTTAAATGAACATAAAAATCCATCCAATAAACCTGTGACATTGCAAGTGAACTTGAAGAAACTGAAACTCAACAGAAAAGTTTTGATTTTAACGAAATGTGTCAGCTGGAAAGCAATCAGGCTAATTTCAGAATCAGTACAGCACCAAACATCACCTTGGATGTTCCTTTAGTAGAATAATAGAGACCCGAGCGTCGCAGAAACATGTAGAGCTTCTTCCAGGACTTGCGTCCAGGCTCCTTCACATACAGATAGCCCTGGATCTCTGGACAGCTGCTCGAGTTCAGAAAGTTCTGGAAAAAAAAAAAAACACAGCAGCATCTATTGAGAATATTGCTGCAGAGAAAGTGAATACAACAGAAATGTGTCCCTTGATATTGTGAGCTAATACTGAATATGTGTCGATCTCACAGTGAAATAATGAGGCAGCTTAAAAGCACACATAGCATTGTGTATGTGTGTGTGTGCATATTTTTAGATGACCAGATGGATAAAAAAAACACACACACACCCATCGTGTCATAGCTGGTCTACAGTGAGGATTTAGGTGCAGGATTAAATGGAGGCTGAGGTAACACTTAATGTGGCAAGTCTTGGCATGTGTGCTACTAGTATGTGTCCCCCTCACTGAGTCACCGCCTCACCTGTAAGAGCTGTGACTGAGGGATTGAGCCGTCAGACTCCTGACACCAAGCCACCATCTGCTCTGGAAAAAAGTTCTGGATGGAAAAACACACAGAGACCGACAATGAGTGAGAGAGAACGGGACAAAGAAAAGAGAAGCACTAGAAACCACTTAGTGCAGATGCAAAGCTCAGAGTGGGGTAGTGTTTCTCTATGCAGAAAACATCTCTCTCTCTCTTTCTGTGTGTGTGTGTGTGTGTGTGTGTGTGTGTGTGTGTGTGTGTGTGTGTGTGTGTGTGTGTGTGATGAGCACAAGGACTCAGAGACAAAGTGGTGGAGAGAGAGAGAGAGAGAGAGAGAGAGAGAGGGCACTCCAGCCGAGGAGTAGATGCAGTATGATCTCACCCGCTGATGTAATCCCCTTTAGCCAGCAGCGCTACTCTTAGCGTGATTGACAGGCCGCGGCCAGCACTCTGGTGTTTTACTGTGCTCATTACCACAGAGCTGAGGTCACCTGCTGGCTCTGACACACACCTAAATCACCACGGCAATAATGTCACCGTATACCCGGCCAGCACGCAACAGCAGAGCCCCACGCTGAGTCCACATCACCAAAAAGTGCCACGCAAGCCGGTTAATGCTGACTCGCTGGCTGTCAGAGGGAGGCCCGTGTCCTCAAGACGCTTTTGCATTTTAGATTTCTCTCCTCCAAACAAACGTGGTGCTAAAGCGCAATGAGTTTTAGCTTCTACGTCAACCAGGAGGACGACTGAAATAGACGCAGTGTGACACAAAACAAAAGAATCCAGAGTGATGACACAAAGAAAGCATTGTGTGAGGTTAGACTGACAGGAGACAATTCAACGCTTGAAATATCGCGCACCCGATCGCCGAGGTGTGACAATACAAAACGAACAAAGCAGAATCGAGTTAGCCGACACCTATTGCACGTAGCTTGACTATATGGAGAAATTTGAAAAGCACACATTCAGTAATTTGTACCAATTTGGTCCAAACTGAAATATCTCCATTAGACAGATATTCAGGGTCCCCAGAGGATGAATCCTAATAACCTCATTCCTTAAAGCTGGGTGAGGCAGTCATCTTTTGACATCATTGAGCATAAATTCTGTCTTAACTAACACTAAAAGCAAACAGATTTAAGCTTTTTTTTCTCAGCAGCGTGATCTTTAGCTCTCACTCGCAGCTTACGTGATAAAGTTTTAAGCCTAGTCGTAGTTAACTTCTGCCCAAAGATTTTATGTACACATGCTTGTACTTTGGACTTTTCAGATATTTTTTTTAATGCAGCTGTAAATTATTTGGACTGATGATTGTTTCGTAGTGACCCAAGCTATAGAAACGCTCCAGCTGTGAGTAACATGATATTTTCTAGGCGTCCGAAACAGCTGCTCCCCCACAATTCCCATCACAATGTTTAATTTTGCGTTTAGTGCAAATTACCAAACGTTAGTGTGTAGGGTGAAACATTCCTTATGCTGAACATTGTTATCTGAGCATGCAGCGTGATGCCAATCGTTGTGCTCGAAACAGCCCGACAGAGCAGAGGGCTGTGGTCTTTTTGTCTTGTGACTAGCAATTTTCAAAGATGAAATGATTGGAAAATAATTTCTAAAGCTCTTGAGGATTTGATGTCCTACGGAGAAAATAAATACTTGGTTGAAAACAAAAAGAGCCTGTGACTTTTCAACAGAACCATCAAATGTAAAAGTACCGACTATTAGCGAGCCCCAATCCAAAAATATCAAGGATGAACTCCTGCTGTGTGTGTGTGTGTGTGTGTGTTTGTGTGTGTGTGTGTGTGTGTGTGTGTGCGTGCGCGTGTGTGTGTGTGTGGGGCTGCGTGCTAAAGCGAAGCAGTCAGAAAAAGGTCACTTCAGGGATGCGAAAGACTCACCAGGGGGTTCCTGAAGAATTCATATTTGGCATAGTTCTTCCTGAAGAGGAATTTACTGTCGCTGCTCATGGAGGCTTGAACCTGAACCACCAGCTCGTGGTCCTCCAGACATCGCTCTGTATGAGGACACAGAGACAGACAGTGTTAGTACCCCCCCCTCCAGGCTGTGTTATCTTTGGATGGTCCTCGGGGACGATGTCTGAGGTGAACCCAGGTTTAAATCAGTGCACACAGCTTTGGGGATAATTCACACGCTATAAACGTACATGTATTCAGATTTTTAAGGGAGAAAAAACTGTTCAAAGCTCCTATTTCAGTGGCAACTATAGGTTTTTATTGTTAGATAATTTTAGGGACTCCGTCTGCATGTATTTCCTCTCCCTCTATTTTTTTGTCCTCCTCCTGTGTTTAATACTGACAGCATATTTGGAAACGTCCTTGTCACCAAAGGACCTTGTTTGCTGTAAGCTTGTTTTTAACTGTGTCCTCTGGCAGCATGAACCAGCAACTTTTGACATGCAGGGACACACATTCAAGTTTTAGGAATCAATTTTGGAAACACTGAGGGATTTGTGACTTCCATTAACGACCTTTTTCTGCTTCACGATATCTGAATCCAAAGCATTGTGTTCTCACCATCCCTGGTTGGTTTCTGTATTAAAATAATCCCCGACAGGAGGAGTTTCCTTCTGCATTCACCACTGCATCACCAATTGCACAATTGCATACGGTGACACAGCAAGAAAAATCGCCTGTTACTAAGAGACGAGCAAGAGGTTAAACGAGGAGGGGCTGCGAAGAGAAGAAGCGCTGTGAATCGGGGAGGGAGGAGGTGAAGGTGGAGAGAAGAAGTGGTATGAGATGGAGAAAGGAGGGGAGGAGGAGGAGGAGGTGGTGCTGGAGGGGGGAGGAATTGCAGGAAGATGATGTCATGTATTTAGGCTGATTGCTGAGAGCAGCGAAGCCATAAGCAAAGTACAAGCCACAGACAAACACACAACCACACATTAAGAGCTCACATAGGCCTAACCTGCCTGTGTGCACCACAGAGGCCCAATTACTTTCTGTGTGTGTGTGTGTGTAGGTGTGTGTGTGTGTGTGTGTGTGTGTGTGTGCATGCTCTCCTCTTTCTTGAAGTTGAGGGCATATGATCTCAGAGTGAGGCAGATTAGAAACTGATAGTGGCAGGATGTTCCAGTTCTGCGTGGACACACTCGCACCCGTTCAAGTGATGGCAGCCAAGGTTCTCCTTTCTAAATGAAGTTTAAGTGGGGCAAAACACACACACACACACACACACACACACACACAAACAATCGCACACACACACACTTGTACGTGCATTTTGCTGAAACTGTAGTCACTGTTTTTGCTATAAAAAGAGCGTTCTGGCTGCAGTTTAGGGGTGGAAATGTCTGGACTCTGTTTGTGTGTCAGTGTGTGTCTAAGCGCTGGCTACAAGCAGGGGAATTTCCTGTGGAAGGTTAAGGAAAGATTGATTGGCTAGGAAGGCTAGGGGCTCGTCCGACGGAGACCCGCGATTGGTTCCTCGCAGCTCTGGTATGACGCTTTAGTCCAGGCCTCTCCGCCCTTCCCCCCCTTCTTTCTCTTTCTCTCTCTCCCTTCATCTCTCTCTCCCTCGCTTTTTCCCTCCCTCCCTCTCCTCACCTCACATTCCATCTCTCCAGTGCACTTTTTTTTTTTTTTTTTCCAGAAACACAGATCAAGCAGGAAAGCACAAAGCGATCCTTTGACTCTAAAAATACGACTCGGGGAGTAGGAAAGCCTCACAGAGGACAAAGACAGACCCAGAGAAGAAGAAGAAGAAGAAGAAGAAAAAAAAAGAAATAAATAAAGCTTCAAAGGGAGACACGGCAAAAAGTGAAGAAGCGAAGCACGAGTCTTGTGTTTTTCTTTTTTCTCTCCCCGTCTCTTTATCCCCTGAGCAAATTATTTGGGAGGGAACAGGCATGTGAGTCGAACATGGAAAATGCTTAATCCTACAACCACCACACCTCCCTCCCGCGCTGTATAGGCATACAAGCACTTGTGCCATGCTCAAGTGAACATACACACTGAGGGCACACACAAGAGAGTACCTCCACCCATACAGGGACACACAAAAGGAGTATCGACACACACACACATAAACACAAGACTGATACAAACCAAAGAAATATGCACGGATGTGGTGGAAGCTAAACGCATTTTGCACATCTTTTCTACTTTTGTAAACTTTGTCGAAGCTGCTATTAAGCTTCATGACACATTTTCATGTTATGTGTGACTTAAAATCAGGTGCCACCTGCCTCTTTTATAGAAAAAGGATAAAACTTCATGTTCTTTTTTTGGAAAATGTAACTGATATCGGTTTGATTTCATTGAAAGTTCTTCCACAACACTTCATAGATGTAACAGATAACCAGAGATGCACACAAGTAGATCTGATCCTTGCAAAGAAAAAGCAAAGCAAGAATATGAATGTAAAATACAGACACATCAAATCTGCACGGCAATGTGCACACACACATTCTTACCGAGGCCGAGGATGGGGTGGTGCTCCACCAGTGTCCAGGCGTTGTCGTCCAGACAGTGGCTCTTGTAGACCAGCAGCTGGCACACGTCTCTGGCTGTCATGTCTGCTGGAATCTCCACCACTTTGCCGGCCCCATCCTCGCTCCACACCTTCACTATCTGCAAAGCACACACAAATGACGATGGGAATATGTACATAAGACCAGTGAAGGTCAGGGCAGGAAAAAGTCTGAGGCACAGTGCGTCCTGAGCTGCTTTCAAGAATTTGAAATTGCAGAGAAAACGGAAAATGCAGCAGATCAGAGGATACCTCCATAACCAGGTGCTTTGTCAAGTCCACTCCTAAAAAGTCCTGTTCACATTATTCTGTCACTCCAACATGAAAAGCGCTTTAAAAAAAAAAGGAACGAAGGATGACGTCCAGGAAAGGTCGGTCGGCCCCTGCGCTTTCAGTTCAGCCCTTTTGTCCACAGCTCAACCAAACTTACTAAAACGCACATCCACAAATAACGCATGTAAACCCACGATGACACGCTTTCTGTCACGCGCAAGAATATCCACATCCTGAAAAGTCCAAAAACCACATGTTCACACTTGGATGTTGAAATAACACGGTGGGTGCATTTATACGTGTTGGATTTTGTCATTAAAAATGTCACCGCTGGGAGCAGCAAGCGGGTAGAGTTCAAAGCTGGAGTACCTCCCATTGTTGCGCCATTTTGAACCATTTCAGCCAAGTGCCCAAAGCGACATTTAAACCGGGTGTAATTTTCCCTTCTTCGAGTGTGTTGCTGCACAGATAACCACAGACCAGCTGCTTCACACCACTGTATGTGCAGATTCACACACACAACACCACGGTCAACTCGCTCTCTCACATGCAGCCAAACACACATAAATGTGAGCGAATGAACATCAGAAAGTGCCTGCAAACCACGGAGGCGACTTAAGATTGTCTTCCAAACATCAGACAGAAATGGTGTGTGTGTGTGTAGGTTTGTGTGTGTGTGTGTTCTCACACACCCACGTATTAACATCTTCTGTCCACAGCAGGGATTCTGCTGCCCTGCACTTCACAGAAAACCAACAACTGTTGAAAATTACATGAAACAAGACACAAAGCTGGTGATGGGCGAGGGGATGGAGGGGAGGAGGGGGGCACGGAAAATTAAGTCGGACAATGGCACCGCAAAGTGGAAATACACAAAACACACGAGGAAAAAAAAAAAAAAAGAGAGAGAGAGAGAGAGAGACAGCAACGGTGGCCTAGAAAAGACACAAAACATCAGAAGCAACCAGCACGCCGACACGAAGAAAGACACCCAATGCAACCAGAAACGTCACAGCAAGTCTTTACCTCTGCAAAGCCAGAAGACTGCCTCCTCTCTTCCCACATGCCCCCGAAAAAAAAAAAAGTAAAAAAAATGTATGACGCATGTTTGAGAAAAGTTTTAGAAGCATTGAGTCGACGGGGAGAAAAAAATGCAGAAGTCCTCATCACTGCACACTGACAAGCGTTCACAAAAGAGACACACACACACCGAACACACACACACACACTGAAAGCTCACGATATCCAGAAAAGAAAGGAACACACATGAAGTGTCTTACCTCCACAGCCTGTAAGAGGCAACAGTCTGGAGAGCAGGATGGCATTTTCACACTGAGACACTCTCCAGTGACACAGAGGGACAGAGAGAGCAGGAGGGAGGGGAAGAGGAGGAGAGGGAGGAAAGGAAGTCAGGAAGAGAGAGAGAGAGAGAGGGAGGGAGGGAAGGAGGGGAGGAGGAGGGAGGGACAGATTGGCAAGGAGAATGCAAGAGAGGTAAGAGAGGGGGGGAGGCAGTGACAGAGGAAGGACGAGGGTGAAAGAGAGACGGAGCGAACGGGAGACAGCCTGCCCCTTCTTCTCGTGCTGGGCAGCATAAAGGCTGAGCTGCGAGGAGTGGTATGAGCAGTCGCTGCTCTCCTCCCTCCCTCCCTCCTCCTCCCTCCTCCTCCTCCTCCTCACACTGGATTAACCCAGTGTGGGATTTTTAAACGGTGAGCTGCTACCTGTCACGTACTCCACACTCTTATCTTCAGGGTTGTGTTTCAATCCCCTCATCATCATCTTCCACCGCCTCCCTCTTCCACCCGAAAACAAACAAAACAAATAAAAAATCACTGTCAGCGCCTTGTGCTGATGGCGCCACACCAAAAGTGTTTCTCCCGAAAACACGCCCACAACTCCTCACACACACACACACATGCATAGAGAGAGAACAAACTACTGAGCCAATCACACATACCTTATTCTTATGCATCCACTGACATTTTCTTTTTTTGCTGCCTGACGGTTTCAATTTCTACCCCCCCTCCCTCCCTCTTATCCTCCTCCTCTTCCTCTTCCTCCTCCTCCTCAGCTGTATGTGAAATACTATGCAAGAGTGTTAGGACTAGAGCAACATGTGTAACGCACACCGATGGCTTCGAGGTTCGCAGGGAAGGCAAAGTCTTTAAAAAAAAAAAACACACACACACACAAAAAAACTGTGGGGTGATCTGATCTGAAGCTGTATGGATCACGTGCCGGGTGTTTGGGCTTTGCAGAGGGGGTCAAGGGAGGGGTAGGGAGGGAGGAAAAGATGGAGGTGGGGGGGGAGAGAGAGAGAGGTGGTTGCTCAGCAAATCTGCCCAGCCTCAAGAGAGGTAGACAGAAAGAGAGAGAGGGAAAAGAAGGGAGGGGGGCAGAGAGGAATAAAGAAAGAGAAAAGAGGGAGCGCTATGGAGGAATGTCAGTAATGCAATACTGAGTCATAATCAGGCTCATGTGTAGAGCACAGGCCAACCCAGCTGGCCCCTAATACAGTGTGCATGAGAACTATGAGGCGCGCACAGTCACTCTCAAAAGAGGAAGACAAAATGTAAACTATGAAGACCAGCACCAAGAGTTTTTCTTTTTTTTTTTTTTAAACTTTTCCTCCAGCCTCATGCTGCAGCTTGGCAGCGTAACACTGGGCTCTTCCTGAACACGTCCGTGCACGGATATTACATGTTCATGTATGTGATGAGCACATGTGGAACAAAGGGGGGCTGTAGGAAGAGATAACAAGCTCACTGTGTGCGTCAGTTTTCCCACTTTTTCCTTTGTTCTGCCTCAGTTTTCTTTCTATTTTCTTGCATTCATGTGCCGATTTGTTCATCCACTTTCGGCTTTTTTCTTTACATGATGAAACTTAACTCACCTTGGCTTGTCCCCCACCTCTGCTTTCCCCTCCCCCATTTGCCTCTCTCCACCAAAAGAGGGTGAGGGGTGGAAATGCACAGCATTATTTGTCTACTATGGCTGCTTATAGCAGCACACACTGATAAATGCATGTAAAAAGGGCTCCGAGTCACAGCATATTGAAGTGGAGGGTCACGGACAGACACCTGCGTGCACATCAACAAACATGCACGGACACAATCACGCACGCAAGCACAGTATGTACAGGGTCAGGGGTCAAACACAATAATCTGCACCAGGGTCAGGCCCACTTGACCAAGAGCTTTATGGGCCCCTAAACCTATCAGGCGATACGCACACACACACACCAAATATACACACTCACGCACAAGGTAACACAGACACACCCAGACACACAAGTGATCTGATTGTTTTAAGCCAGAGCCCATCTCTTCAACGGCAACACAACCCACAGACTGTAAAAGCAATCCTGACTCAGCTCTGGACACGATCTGCTCTTTCCAGTCTGGAACGTTTTATTATTTCTAGGTCACTGTGGCAAATAGATGTGAAAATATGTATATATAGTATATTATGCTAGTTACCTTGGTTTATCAACGTAATGTGCAAAGAGCAAGGCTGCGACTTTGTGTACACTGCATGGCTGCAACTAAAAATAACCCGACGACTTTTTCTCTTGATTAATTATTTGATTTAAAATAATTTCCAGTGCACAAGCCGAGTTCTAACCAACAATAGAAAACCCAAAGACATTCAGTTTGCAAAGATCTAAAACAAAGTAAAGCTGCTCACCAGTTGGCAGATTTTCTAAAATATTTCAAAACCTAGTCATGAATGAATAATTAAGCAGACAGGTTATTATTTTTTCATGACAATGTAATACGTTACTTGCCATTCATTTTACTACAAAGGGGTGTGACCTTGTCATTTACTCCAAAATAGACTGGATAACTCCAAAAACTAAACAAGCAGGAAAATCCTTACATTATCCTGCCTCCAAAACTTTAATACTGGTGTAAGAAAACCTCCAAATGACAGCGGAGGCTGCCGTAGGAGACTAACACACCCATCACTAATGTCAGCATTTGAATGCAGGTTGGTGGTGACTCCCACTCTGGTCAATTACAGCATGATCCGTCTTTCATGTCTGTGAGTGGTCGGGTTTCAGGCCAGACAGAGCTGATTAGCTCTGCAGACAGGCCAAACTCAATTTCACCTCACAGGAGCGCCATCGCAAAACCTCACTGAGTGTCTCTCCTCCCCACGACCCAACCCTGACACGGCAGGGTCTCCCTCCTACACACAGAGACACACATGTATGCGTGCACAGGCTCGGTCAAAATCACTGACTGATGCGCATCTAATGCTCAGTTCCAGGAATCCCTTCATGTGTAACGATCGCCCGTAGGTTTAACTAAATAAAGTCATGTGGGCGATGGTGTAATCAATCTAATAAAGCAGAACGTAAGTCAAATTTAACCTACTATATATATTAAAAGTTTGTTTGATGGAAGAGTTTACAGAGTGATTTTTTTCTTACATGAAAAGATCCCATCCACACATCATCCTTTATCAAATTTGTCTGAGCTGGAAACGCAAACCTCTTCTTCCCAATTCCACAGCAAAATGAATGTCTGCTCCGAGCTTGGTCACGTGCACAGTATCACTGATCTTGTTTGGTAAAGTCCCAAAAAACAATGACTGTGTGTACATTAATAAACACGTGGATGTCCATTCCAGATGTTGACAGTCTGAATTTTTGGTTCTCAAACTGGGAGAAAATGAACTTAACCAAGAGTTTGTCTGTACAGTGGCCCCAAAGGGTCACAGTAAGCATGTATGGCTCAGACTACAGCTGCATTTGTGGTTGAATCTACGATGCTAAGGATGTGCACACAGTCGCGGAACTTTTTATCTGAAAGGATGCAAA